AGAAGGGAACAGGATACAGGTTCACATGGTCAAGGTCCCTGCATTCCCAGGAGTGAGGAAGGAAGACAGCAAGAAAGCAAAGAAGGCATCTCACAGTCCTCCAGATGCTTAGACTTCGTTCCCCGTCACTCTCCCCTCTGAACTCAGGTACCAGCCAAACTGCATCGAACCCTCGGTGCTCTCCGGTACAGCCTTATCCCCCTGAACGGTACACACATTCTTCTGGGATACGGATTAAGGATCAGTTATCCCACAATGCCAGGCTCAGTGCCTTTGATATGGTAGGTGGTCAAGAAAATTATGGAATGAACGAACCAATAAATAAGGAATGAATAATTGTATCATTTTTTTACAGTATTTTCTGTCTGTACCCTATCAATGTCTGAAGTGACCACCACATCATTGTCAAGTTCCATTATCATCTTCAGTTATGAATTAAAGACAAAAATTAAATCCTTGGGTATATTTTTTTAAGTAAAGATGTCTTAACTTTTTTCCAGCTGAGTAGTTATATCAGGCTTCTTCCTGATACACAGCAAGCAGAGCTCCTCTAAGAATCTGGACCTCATTCAAGTTTTTTAAACTAGCGCCTCACCTTTCTCTTTTTAAACTTTATTTTTTGACATCATTTTAGATTTACATGCAGTTATAAGAAAAATTACAGAGAGCGCCTGTGTACCCTTTGCCCAGTTTCCCCAACAGTAACAGCTCTTAAGTGTAGTACAATATCACGGCCAGGGTATTGACTGAATTTACACAGATTCTACGTGTGTGTGTGTGTGTGTGTGTGTAAACATTAATAACATGGATTTTTTTCAAAGCCAAGAAACAGTATAGTTTCAAAAAAAGAACTATGCCTTTGAAATAATAGCCTCCCTTTTCAGTAAATCATTTCAAATCATTTTTCTTATTTAAGTTTTCTGTATTTGGAATATCCAGTATGCCTGTCAGCTCTCAAGGTCACAAGGTGTGCTTATTGACACACTTACTCTGCAAGTGAACTAGCAGCAGCTGTGGTTGGAACTGGACCTCCTCCTCCCTCCTCCCCTCCCCCACTCTTGGAGTGTGCAGGTTCACACACACACACACACACACTCAGATTTTCTGCTGCCTGCCTTTTTTTATGCCTGAGTACCTTGCTGACAAGTGCTAATAACAAAATACCCAGAGAGAGTCCAGTTGAAGTTAGCATACATTAAACATTCTGAACTTGTCCTTTTTGCTCATAGATTGTGCATAATTAATAATTAAACAGTTTCAGTTGTAATGGGTTGACCTTCCTGAACTGTTCATTATTCACAAGGCAAAGGCATCACTCAAACTTTTTCCCATTGTCCTTGGCTGTTCTCGAGCATGCTGCCTGCCTGTGTTCCAGTTGTTTAGCAAAAGGGGCTGACCAGGTAGTTACGGAAACCTCTGAGACTTGGAGACTATCCTCCTTGATGGCCACGATTGCTTACTGAAATGGTTTATGGCAGCGATTTTTATGTAACAGTAGCCTGCTCCATCACAGGATCCAGCTTGTGTCCCCTTAGCAGGTCTCTAAAGTTGATTGGGGACCAGAGTCTCACGTTCAGGCTTTCGGTTAAGTCTGTGTCCACTCGTTCGCTCCATACCTCTGTGCTTAGAAGCTCAACAGAAAAGCGTCCCCACAAAGCCTCTAAGGTGAAGTATGGCACCAGGGTCTTAGAGAGAGTGACTTTTATTAACAATTTAGAGTCGGTTTCCGCCAGACCTGAGAGTTACTTGTGTGACCGCTTCTCCAATTTGTATTTGTATTTTCGAAATGTATTTCTTCATCTGACCTGAACCCATATGTCACAGAGAATGATTTTGATAAGCAGCAACAGCTACTACTTTAGTCGGTCCTGAGCCCCGTGGCATGGTCCTGTCTGCTCCTCACCCCATGGGGACTGGATGCTCTCCCACCCTGGGAGCTTCTGTGACACTGAAGCAGCTTTCCTACTGGCCTCCCTCCCTCCCTTCCTCTCTCCCTCCCTCCTTCAAACATATTTGAATTACATCTCGAAATAGGCAGGTTCTTGGAGGTGTTTTACATCCTGCTTTAAATGAGCTTCTAATTTGACTTGCTTAAAAATAAGGAAAATATAACTTTAAAATCCTCCAGTGCGGTGCACAATGTCAGGTCTGGCGTGTTAACAGCCTGTGGCTTCCATGGCATGGGAGGCCTTCACAGGCAGGACCCCTTTGCCCTGTGCTTGTGTTCTGCCCTCTGACCAGCCCTCCGCAAGTCAGCCTTCTGTGTCTCAGAAAATTCTCCTTGGAGGTATGCAAGAGACATGGACTTCAAGATGAAAAAAAAGTATGTGGCATTATGCATGTGGGATTACAGTTTCCCCCTGCATCTTTGATGAGTGATTCTTTCCAGGCACCACTGAGATGAGAATCCACTCTCTGTGGTTCTGCAAAGTCGACGTGGGCTGGCATTTTCACAAGTGAAATAAATTATTCATGGGTACCACCCAGTGTTCCTTAGTTTTATATTATGAGGAACTTAACAGGCTACAATATCAGGTCTTAAATAAAATTAACTATCCATGCAAAGATGTCACATTTCCTTGTTTAGTGTCTCATCCGTGTTCAAATGACATCTCCATCAAGTCGCCTAGTCTATAATTCATTAATTTACTCTTAGGATCATACTTTGAAATGAGGCCCACATTAGCATCGTGTTTTTTACCAGGATCTTTGTAGAAAACCCATCCAGAATTTTAACCATCTTGGTAAATATTCAGCCACATTAAGACAGTCGGCTTTTATTTTCCTAAACAATGCATTTTAAAGCAACTGCTCCTCCGACCCTTGTAGTACCACAGCCTCCTCAGAAAATTTCAGGACTTAGAGAACACTCTGATCAGAGTCCATAATTTTTGTACCTCAGACTTTGAACTATCTTTTTACTAATAGTTTTTGAGACTGTAAAATGTCATTTCTGAACTGGGCCTTGTAGAATCTTGCGGGCTTGGTGATATATATGGCTTTCCTGAAACAGGCTGGGCTGAAATTGATATCATGTTTTATTTTTGCTCTTCAAACCGATGGGACTTCTGTGACCATTTTATAGCACCTTCCTTGCAGACTTGTCATGTTATTGGACTTGTCATGTTATTGCGCGCCTTGTTTCTTTTGAGCAGACGATTTCATCAGAAACCCCCCTCACCCCCTGTTTTTCAGGCCCTCTCTATGTCATGCCTGCATGTAATCCTTTGAACTTGGCAAGATTTTATTTCATTCCCACTTTCCTTTGTTTTCCTTTCCTCTTCGAAGCTTTTCTCCACTGATGAGAATTTTTAAGTTTACTATTACGAAGCTTTTTCCTCCTCTGGATGAATAATAGAGTAAATTCAAAGGGAACAGATAGGCAAAAACCAAGAAACATTTTGTTCACATTCCTTTTCTTTTAACCTCTTCAGGATTTTTTTTGGTGGGGCGGGGGGCCTGGGGCTGCTTTGACCCCCTCGGTTCCTTTTGATTCAATTGTATTTTCCAGCAGTTTTCAATTGTTTGAATTGGAAACAAAGCCTTAATAAGAGTTCTAGTTAATTTTCTGTCTTGTAATTACCGATCTCATTTTTCTGATAATTGGCCACAGCAATTATATGTATATTTACTAATCACATAGGGGGCTGTGCGATTGTATCTATCTGCCACCATTGATAATGACACGCATATTGCAGAGGTGCTTTTATCATCTTCTTTTTTCCACTACATCAAAGCCATTTCCTCTCGTTCCCAATAATGAATACATGCATGCATTTGACACAGTTGTGTGCTAGAGAAATTGTTTGGCTCCCACCAAATGCTGCATGCTCTGACTTTCTTGCCTGCAGCGCTGGAAGGTTGTATGTAATGATATATTGCTCATCCAAATGGCCAAAGCACTCCAAAGCACAGTGAGATTAAAATAAGTCATTCCTTTGTTAATTTAAATAGGTGCATGTATCATACTTTGCAGGGCACTTTGTGTAGGGATGTCAGGGAGGAAAAAAGCCGCCGAAAGGTATTTTTAATAGCAAATGAGAATAGATGAGAATGGAGTCATTTGCAGCTGCCTACTTTATGTGGCTCTCTTGTTCCAACTGTAGGTCTAATGAGATGACTGTTAAAGTACTCTGCAGTGTAATTTCATTACATCCTGAGCCGTTACACTATAAACACAGTGGCACTCTCTGTCATTCTTGGAAAAACTCCTAAATTCTTAAAGCCTTCCTTTGCAAATGGTAATGGGGTTTGCTCCCTGTGTTACACGGTGGTTGTCACGTTTGTTGCTTTGTAGTTTTCTGCTCTTTCCAAAGCCGCCCACCTCCACCCCAGTTCTGTTTGGTGGTCAAGGGGGGCAAGTTTTCATTGTGTCCGTAATTCACTGGCTTTCTCATATGACGAGTTTGCCTAGACTGGCGAATAGGTTGAAATTCTTTTTCAGAAAACACCTTTCCCTATAAAAGGTTTTCTGTTAAAGTTAAAAAAAAAAAAATCTGGCCCAAATGATTCTGTTAGGGGCAAACAGTTAAGAGCAGCTGAATATACAAATAAATGTAAATAAAAAGGAAAGTGTAAATAAATAACAAATCTAGTAAAAGAACAAAGGTCAGCACAAGAATAATTTCACAGCTCTTTGTTAATTACAAGACCATTTGTGTGTTACTTAAATAATCATTAATTTCTCATTTACACTTTCGTACCTTCTTTCCTACCCTGTGGCTATCATTGTCCCTTTTTCACCTCCCCTCCCTCCTTGCTCTCATGCTTCTCACCATTGTAAAATGTGTGTGGCTTTAAATTTGGCATTTTACATAAACATGTGGCAGAGGGTGCAGGCAGTCTCCTTAATTGGATGAGGCTTTATTTTCCTTTCCACATGGTGAGGAATCCTTGTGATCGATTCATCTTTATACTGTTACTTTGGTGGGGGAGGAAGGGGATAAAGAAAGGAAAGGAATTGTTGTGACTTTCGGTGACTTGTTTTTCCTCCATCCCAGGATTCGCCCGTCCTTCCGGTTGGAGAGTTCTCCGAGCCATTTGTACATTTCATCACTCAGTGGTGAGCCTGTTTGCAAACATGCCATGCCCTCAATGTAAATGATACATGCCATTAACTCGGAGGCTCCGTGAGACCTTATGGCTCTCCCTGCTTCCTTTTGGAGACAGGAGGGACTTCGGGGCCTTGGGCAGATGGGGCAGCAAAGCTGAAGAAATTGTTTAAATTATGTAAGCGTTATTTACACAAAGGGTTGTAAATGTACTTTAGAGGCTTTTTCCTGTGTTAATAAACTGCTGAGAATCAGGCTACTTCTTTTGAGCACAGATACAGTTGCTATCCAGGTTTTTTTTGTTTGTTTTTTTAAAGAAATACTCCATTTTATAGCCCCTATTGAACAGACCTATGAAGCTTATTTTTATTAATGTAACCTCAAGTGACCCATAAAACTGTCCGTCACTTAGTGGAAGCAGCATAGTTTATTAATTCATTGGATTTTCAGTAAATAACTTTTATCTTTGGTTATATTTTAAATGCAATACTGGTGTCCCACGTCAATGAATTTTGATGTTTGGAAGACTATGAAAAAATGGTTCTATTAGGCCCACTTTAACTATTAAAGGACTGAGAGGATCAGAGGGACCCTCAGAGTCTCTAGGCAGCCTCTGGTCATTTTACACCTGAGGAAACAGGCGTTTTTCTGCCAAGGGTTCTTTTCCAGCTTCCTGCCTTTTTCCTCCCAGTAGAACAAGCTGTTCTTTTATTAGCCCTTTCTCATCATCCACCTCTCCCGTTCGCTCAGCAGCACTTGTGTGGCCAGAAGGCCCAGGTGCTCCGCTGCCCTCCTGTGTCCTCTCCCTCACCCCAGCATGGAGAGAGAAAAGGAAGCTGGGAGCGGAGGAATAACCACCCCGAAGCAGAGACAGAGCCAGCTAGAAACTGTTCTGTACATGCTGGAGATCCGGCATAACCACCTTTACTTCTCTTTCCCTCCTCCACCAAATCCCTCATTTCACCACCCCTTCAGGGTCGTGTCCACTGGTGGAAAACGAACCCTTCGTTCCTGTGGTGCCACGAAATGGTGCCATCAGGAGTCCTTGCTAAACCGAAATGGCTGTACACTGCCCCCTTCCCCTCCCCCCGTGATCCATCTGATGATTACGCTAAAGTGAAACCAAGAAATATTCCTTAATATAAATGTCAAGCTTTATCACCTTTTTGACTAAGTATAATATGTTACCGCTTAATAAAAATGTCTCATACAGTTTATATGCCATAGTGAAATATATCAAGAAGAGATTCTTCCCCCAACTTTTAAAATTTTATTAACACTGTTTCTATTTATTTAAAATACTTACATAATATTTTGTAGCTTTTAACTATTTTCACTCTGCAAACATTTTTTTTCCAAAGCATGCCATGCTGGGAAAAAGCATACATTTTGGTTAAATACCGGAATCCTAAGCTGATTCATATAAGTCCTTATTAGTCCTTATGCAGGAATATGTATTAATCTTTCTTAATTTCCTTTACATGGAATTCCTAGAAACACTCGGAAGCACATCATGCCCTATTTTGAAATGCAGGAATTGAAAAACAAACTGTGATTCCTGAGCTGCCCAGAGCATCTGGTTTGGGCATCACTGGCTCCGGAGATGTTGGGTTTCTGATGGGACCACCACGTTTATCTTGCTGTATGGTCTGAGACCAACCTGGGGGGGGAGGCCAGTTCTAGGCAGACAGGGAGAAGAGCAGATAAGGTTTTGCCTCCCTCCTGTCCAAAAAACTAATCAGCTTTTATATCAAAGTTTTATGGAGACAGAGGGAGGGATAACCTGTGTTGAAATTTCCACAGATGTCAGGCTGAAACAGAAATGATAGTGGGTAATAGCCTTGTTTTCCCAAGAGATACAGCTACTTTGGAATGTCAGATTAGGACTGTTACCAACTCCACTGGCGAGACAGCTTGAATTACTTGCTAATGGATGCAGTATTTGAGAGGTACATATGGTTATTTATACGGAAGGCAAATGTCCTTGATGTCATTAATGGTTCATAACTACGATTCTTGTTTACCAAATGATCATTAAATCTTTCTACTTTAAAAAAAAATACCACCAGCAAATGCAGCCATTGTATTATATGAAGGGTTTTCTTCTTGCTGGTTAGAGTTTGCCTTACGTAAAGAAAAACCATCTGTGTGACTTTCCAAGTAATAGAAGCAGCAGTCACTCTTTGTGACTTCATCCCACAGACACTGAGTTTTGTACAAATATGGTCACTTCAGCCCTATGGGTGGGCACTTCATCACGTAGCTGAGTACATGCTCGAGCTATTAATTATACCTATTGCATGTAAGACAAATATTTGGCATGAGGATTGTGATTCTTTAAGCAGCTTAAACTTAACTTTCCCAGAGCTGTTTAATGACTTATCAACTTGTATTGTAGCCAAAATAAACGAAAGTTGAGATAATGTAATAGTAACTAACCCATTTATAATTTTGTAGCATTATCTAGATTCCTGACCTCTGTTATATGTTATTATTCAATAATGAATGAGGTATTTTCTCATTTGACCTGATAGTCATGTTTCTTATTGTCTTATCCCAGTTACCAAAAAAGAAGTATGTTGTTCCCTGAATTCAAGTTTGAAATAAATTGACAACTGCCATCAGGAAGAGAATATGGCTGCTTTCTTTCACATTCATTTCAAAAGTAGAATTAGAATAAATTTAAATTTATTCTTTATGTGTATTATAAGAGTAACTCAAAAAAAAACAACAACTTTATGTTTCTCATTCATGAGATTTCCCCCACAATCTAATTAATTAAAGGCCACAATAAAAGGAAGGGAATATGTGCTGATACAGCATACTTCAGAGATAGTACATGTTTGTTTCTAGACCACTGTAATAAAGCAAATATCGCAATAAAATGAGTTACAATCTTTTTTGTGGGAGGGGTGGGGGGGTGGGGATCTCGCCTTCAGTTTGTAAAACACACAACATCTGTGAAGCGCAATGATAGGCTGGCACCAGTACTTTGGCCAAGAAGGAACACGATGAATTTTGAAAACATTCCAATTGCAGGGGAAGTAGTCAGTGGTGGAAATTACAGCACAAATTTACAAGTGATATAGTAACAGGCATTTTGTTTCTCTCTTACAGCATGCGAAAACAGCCAAAAGAAAGGCCAGCACCTGAGGAATTGATGGTAAGTACATTTTTTGGGTTACATTAGTAATTCCCAGTTATGTATGTGTGCTCGACATTCTCGGAAAAGGATCAGAGTGGACCTTGAAACACCCACAGGCTCCGGAACGGCAGCAGTCACGTGTTTTTGAAGCTCATATCCTCAGGTAGGAGTTTTTACTTCTTAAAAACCCACCACCATTTTGAAACCTGATGCAGAATTATTTTTCTTTGCCTGGCACTCAAGGGTCATGAGTTAATCTAGGCCACTGCTCATCCTCATTTGCCGTTACAGCTTCTCAGAACTCAGAGGGCTGGTCACAGAGAAGATAGTCGGCGTGTTAAGCTTTTCGTGTGACCCTCCAGGAGATTCTGAATGTGGCATGGGGTCCTCTTGGATTCATGTAGAAGGAAATGAGATTGGCTGCAAAAGATCAAGCTAATGTGAATCTTTGGTCTTCCCTCGGGAAGGGATCGCGACAAGGGTGCTGGCGCTGTGTTCGCAGCTCCAAGACCTCCTTCTTTGATTGCAAATGACAGATCTTAAGCAGGCAGGGAGAGGAACAGAGACGCTCCCTAATAATTCCCAAATGGTCACTTGGTTAGTACAGATTGTTGATTTGACAATGCACAAGCTGTTATAATAATGTTAGAATCCAGCATTAGTAAATAATAAGTATAGTCTGCTCTTTCTGATGTTTTGAGAGCCATTCCCGATCTTTAGATTATTGCAGTCAGAGCCAATTCCAGCCAATTTGCTTCCGCCACCTTAAACAATAAGCATTTTACAGATACTGGTTCAGAGTTGTCATCCTTTGTAGTTCATCCTAATGAACACTCTAAGCATTCAAACCTTCTCTTAGTACAGATTTCATCCCCAGAATAAAATAACAGCCCATGTCCCTTTTGCATCATGAGTGCTTTCCAGGAAGGTAGTTTTCTCTTTCCTGTTACTCCTGGGGCAAAATCTCAGTTTTCAGGGTAGTTTCAAGTTAAAGAAAGCTCACCCCTAAAAGCTCTGTGATTTGTAGCTGTGCAGGTTTCATGTCTAGAATAAACTGGTCTTGGGGTGGGGGAGGGTGTCTCTTTGATGGTTGGGGAATTCTTGCAGTTAGTTACATTTGAGAAAACTTGGAACAGGTCCTAGAGATGGAGACCCGTTTACCTTGTACGTTATTATGCTATGGCTGGATAACTCAGCTATTAAGACAAAGGAGTAGGGTTTCATAAAACAGATACGTTTGTAAGTGCATGTTTCAATACTGGAATGAGTTGGCCACTTATAAATAAAACATCTGCAGATGGTACATACACCCATAAAAGCATACAGATGCACCTGTTGGTGAGGAACACCACTGCAGGGTGGCAAGTCATAAGGACAAGGTAAGGGCAGCGCCTTGGAAGGTGCGCGCGCGCGCGTGCATGTGTGTGTGTTTGTACAGAGAGAGAGAGAGAGACGAGGGATACGAATTTCGATATATCTCTTTATAACTACACACCCTGCTGTGTGCTGTCCTGCATTTTTAATTAATAAATATCAATAAACCAATCAAACACAATGAAAAATGCAATCACAGGAAGTACCATCCTACACTTAATTTAACCTTATTTCTAATACTGCTCACAGTTTGATTTAAATGAATGGATTCCCTCTGGTATAGCAATAGTGAGACTCCCCCAGCTTAGAAAGGGCTCAGAGAGGAAGCAGGAAACAGTGAGCGCATATAAGGCCTGTGGTCAAGGGGTTGAGCCCTGCCTGCCTTTGGCCAGAATATTGGGTCCAGTAGGAGACAGGAAAGGAAGTGGATTGTCCACAGGCTGAGGAACCTGAGTCACATCCTGGGGACCCATCCTTAAGGAGCCAGTCTCTTGATTCCTTCTAGCATATTAATGGCTTTAATTTTTCCTTTTCCCTCTCTGCCTACAACCTATTTGATGCTGCTCCCATCTGGAAGCTGAGAGCATCCTCTGGAATGCATGAACTGGAGAGCCCATTTGTCATTGGGGGGGTGGGGGGGGACCTGCCTGGCTTTCACAAAAAGAGCAGTTTATCTCCCAAGTGAGGTAACTCCAGTCAGCAGGGTGCCCACATGGTCTGCACAGCTTGGGCCACATCAGCTGTGAGGCCTGCAGGATTGTCGAGGTTTCCCTATGGGCCTGCATTTTCCAAGCCAAAGGGAGAAAATCAGAGGTGGGCTGGGTGGAAATACTGAGAGTTACACAGACAGCATCTGGGAGCTCTTAAATGAACTCCAGCGTGGCCCTGACCGCCAGTGAACGAAGCAGGTCCCAGCCTAAGTAAATCAGACTGCAAGGAAGGGCGGGCCATGCACAAGGTGGGCACACGAGTGGTTTTTGCCTTTGTATTTGTTGGGGTAACCTTATATCCAGAATACCCAAGTCTTAAAGATGAAATGTACACCTCAAGTTTAGACCCTTGAGGCCATTAAAATCCCAGTGTTGGAACTCAGTTGTTAGCTGTGTAATCCTGTCTACACTGTGTGGTTGTTCCTAAGATGGTTTTCACTTTTATGTTCTAAGTGGAAGTATTTTAAAGTTGGACCAAGAAATTCCCTCAGTACTCACATTTTGGGGAGGCCAGGGTCCACGTGAGCTGGGGCGCATTTCTGGCAGTAACGTTAAGCTACCTAAAGAATTCACTCAAGCCGGGCGCGGTGGCGCGCGCCTGTAGTCCTAGCTCCTCGGGAAGCTGAGGCTGGAGGATCGCTTGAGTCCAGGAGTTCTGGGCTGTAGTGCGCTATGCCGATCGGGTGTCCGCACTAAGTTCGGCATCAATATGGTGACCCCCCGGGAGCGGGGGTCCACCAGGTTGCCTAAGGAGGAGTGAACCGGCCCAGGTCGGAAACGGAGCAGGTCAAAGCTCCCGTGCTGATCAGTAGTGGGATCGCGCCTGTGAATAGCCACTGCACTCCAGCCTGGGCAACATAGCGAGACCCTGTCTCTTAAAAAAATAAAAATAAAAAATAAAAATAAAGATAAAAGAATTCACTCAAAAGGTTCATCATCAGCATCCACATCATCCTTGTAAACAGTTGAATTCAGCAGATATTTATAGACCATTACGTGCCAAGTCCTGTGCCAGACTCAGCAGAAGATACAAAGAATAAGCCGCGTACATACAGTCTGGCAAGGGATGTGGCAAGTATACAAGTAGCTAGAATACAGTAAGTAACTGGTCCCAGAGAACAGTGGGGTGCTGTGGGGGCTGCCCGGGGCAATGGGGAAAAGCTATATGGGGAAAGTAGCATTTGTAAAGGGCCTTTGGAGGATGGATTGAGTTTGAATAGGGAGTTTTAAGGGGACATTCCAGGCTAAGGAACCAGGCTAGGCACAGCAGGAGTGTGGAGAGGCCCCATTTGAAACCTCTGGTGCTGCTAGCACAGAAACCCCTTCAACACTGGCCTCATGGAGTCCCACACCCACAAAGGTGGAATTCCAATCCGCAATATATTCACCACCAGCTGGGCAGTCTATTCAGAAATTCCACTTCTTAATAGAAGGAACCCTAGTGTCCAGGCTTGAAAACTTGGATCCGACAGAGAAGCAGCACTCACCTACACATCCCCTTTTATTCTAGTGGACGTCCATTCAAGTATAGGGAAGTCCTTCCTCCTTGGAAAGATCTGACATTTCTTCCCTCCTTTAAGAGCTGTCTCACGAATCAGGAGTCATTCTTAACCCCAACAAAGGAAAAGCATTGAGGTAGAGGCCTGACCACCGCATTGTATTTCTGAAACTGATGTTGAATAATACTGTATGTCAACTATAATTATATATACATATAACCTCGGGACATGGAGTAGAGTGCGGGAAAGGATTCAATGGAATTGTAATAGATAAGCACGATATCGGGGGTGGGAGGGCAATAGATGGGGGAAAGGGGGCTGTTACTTTGTGAGGGTGAAAAGGGTAACTATTGCATTGTTCTGTACACCTGAAACTAACAATAAAAAAATTTTTAAAAAATAAAATAAAATTAAATTAAATTAAAAAAACAAAGGAGAAGCAGCCACGCAGTCAGCCAAGAGCAGTCAGCACACAGACAGCCAGATAGGAACCCCTCCATACCCCTTCCTGCTATTGTGATGATGATTCCATTATGAAAAAAAAGAATGGGTACTTTTAAATCACCCTCATGCATATCACAGGACAGACCTATGTCAGTTCTGCCCCAGCCCTGTGACCTGGGCCACCAAATTTAGAAAGAAGTTTCCAGGCTGTGGCAGACAGAACGTTGAGCAGGCTTCAGATGGCTAGGCAGGGATGTCACAGCTTGTGTGAGGACGAAAAAAAAAAAACCAGAAAGGATTGGTGAGACTGGAACAAGACAGGGGAGGAAGATAATGCAAAGGTGGCAGAGCAGTTTTCCCAACATGTCAATAATCAGATTGAGGGAAGCAAAAACATAAAAACCAGACAGACCCCTAAACTCAGAGACAGAGACAGCCTGAGATGGGAGCGTGGAGGTAGAGAGAGAGGTTTGCATCTGGTTTTGCTATTCAAATGATATGTTTAAACATTTTTAAATAAAAGAGATATAGTGAGAAACATTACTATATAGACAGTTTGCTCGTGTAAACCACAGAGAAGTCCTTCTCCAGAATTAATCTTCCTTAAGGGCTCTTTTGTCGCTGAGGTCAGGCTGCAACTTAGCAGGGAAAGCCTGCACAGTTCCCTCCCCACTTCTGTGTCTTCATCTGCAGAACCAAAGGGATGGATTAGATCAGCAGCCCTTGACCTAGGGTCTGTGACTTCAGGCAGTGTGTTAGAACCCCTGAAATTACATTCTAAATCGTGCAGGCATGTGGGGATTTGCATTTTTTCCTGCACACAGGGACTCATGGCTGTCATCGGTTTTTCAAAGGGGACCATGACCCTGAATGATTGTTCAGCCCCCTCCCTACCTTTCCATCCTGTTACAGCTGTGAGGCCAGCACCAAGCGTGCAGCTCTGGAGGGAGGCCTGGCAGGGAGGCATTCTCTCAGGGTGCCTGCTCCGTGT